CACGGCTGGGCCGGCCACCACAGAGCCAAGAGGACAACTCTTCCCTGGTAAGTCTCCAAGCGAGTCAGCATCTGGAGCAACAGCTGAACCGGGGGAGAGGTACAGGAACCCCTGTAACACTGTAAAAGTGTTTGGTTTAGTTTAATACATATATATAGTACATGAGTCACAGACAAGGATCTGAGAGGCGCCAGTTTGTCGGCCTGAGATCTCACACCTCAAAGCGTTAATGACCTCAAGTGACCTGAGGTCAGATCGTCTTTGTTCCCTAGAGCTTTGAGTTGAGGTGAGAAAGCCTCGGTGGTTACTAGATTCAAGATATTAATGAGTACATGTTTGGAGTTGATACATAGTAATAACATCTTTTGAGAATATTTTGATACAGACAAGTTCCATTCCTTGTCTTGTATGTAATGGTCTAGAATGGATGGTGGCAGCATTTCTTCTTCTAGTATCTACTCTTCTACTTCTACTATCTACTCTTCTACTTCTACCTATCTACACCTCTCCCTCCACCCTTCTCTAAACTCTCACTTTCAACTAATGACCCTCCTTGCTCCTCCCACCTCTCTCCCTCTCACCCCAAACCCTCACTAATTACTTCACTATTCATTTCTTTCCTTTCGTTTTCTCTTATACGTTTGTGGCAATGATTCTGTATTCTAGAGTTCTCTCTAGAGTTTCGGGTAACTGATCAAGTCTCGGCGCCTTGTAGTCTTAGCACCTAGGTAGTCAAATACCTAGGTTACAAGGTGTTGAACGAGAGAGGTTGCCTTAGGATCTCTGGGAGTGCTCTAGAATAGTTAGCTAACTGGGGACGGGATAACGGACTAGAGAGAGCTGTTTTCCCCGGCCTCGTTAGTTAACTGGGGGGTGGAATAATGGACAAGATAGAGCTATTTCCCCCACCCCCCGTTACACCCCCACCTTGACCAATCCTGCCGAAAGGCATTGACCCCGATGGCCTCGCAGTCGGGAAAGGACGCCACACACAGGGAAGGCGCCGTGACCACGCTGAGGCGAAGAGGTCCACCTCCGGGCGACCGAACGTCCGGCAAAGCCAACGGAAGGAGTCGGCATCGACCGTCCATTCCGTGGAGAGGGGAACGAAACGGGACATGCCGTCGGCCAAGACGTTGGACACACTCCGCACGTGAACTGCCAGGAGAGCCAAACCCCGAGGACTCGGTGGACGGGTCACCCGAAGCGACCAGCGCCAAAGAGCCAAGGACCGCATCGAACCCCCCCTCCCCCCTCCCCCCAGTTCAGACAATGAACCACAACGACCCATGTAAGGCATGTGATCACGCGAGGTGCCAGGCTCAACCTGAACGGGAGACAACGAAAGCTGTAACCTTGATGTCCTACAACAAACCCGAGCCAACCCCTGAACCCCGGATGAATCGGGACGTGCCAATAAGCGTCCAGGAGCTTATTGACACGCAGAAATCCAGGGACACCATCCAAGTGCCCGGCTACAACAGGAGACAAACCTGGGACAGCGTAGTCATGCGAAAGGAAGGGCAATGAACCCAGGGGTTCAGACGGGACAAGTCCAGAATGAACCGCAGGTCCGCACAGTCCCGTTTCGGGACTGGGAACAGACGGGAAACCCATCTGAGGGACGTCGTCGTTTCAACCACGCCCAAAAGATCCCACTCCAAGATGACCCGACAGAGCGCAGGTAAAGAGGCGTGCTCTGCCAGCCCTGAACTTCTCGAAGGAGGAGGGGACCACCCAACGCCACCACAGGCCGAAAGAAACGACCCGAAACACCCACAAATCGTGGGACCAAGCGTGTGCGAACAACACAAGCCTCCACCTCATCGCCCCGTCAATGGGCTGAACCTCAAAAGGTTCAGGGCTGAGGGCTGAACCTCAAAAGGGCCGGCATCCCTTACGAGACCCAAAACCTCGCACAGAGCGACCATCGCGCCGACTAGACGAATGCGGGACCAAAGGTGGCGCCGAACCCGAACCGGGCACCTGTGGCCTACCACGACGAGGGGAACCCCGAGCCCTGGCATGACCCCCTCCGGGATGGTCCCCCCTTCCCCCCTTCCCCCGGAGAACCAACAAGTCAGACATAGGCCGACAAGGAGCCGAAGCAGCCTGAATATACTGGGCTACGGCAGAATCCTAAAAAAACAGAGGACAAAAAGGCGAAGACATCCTAAGAGCCAGGGCCCAGGCCGATTCCAGGGAGGAGGCAAGCACTACCTGCCGACACGTGAACCGGGAAGTATAGAACAGGGAAACCGCATCCCGCAGGATCAGCGCAAACAGCTTCAGCAAGGCAGCCGACGAGCAAGCTGCCTAGCCCATGGCACCGAACCCAGGGACGGCCCCGAGCGCCCCTACGCCCCAAGCCAGTCCGACGACAGCTCCAGGAGGGAAAAGAAACGCAAAGCCGAAGCCAAAAGGCCACAGGCACGCATGTCCTCAGCAGCCTGTGCAGTTGAGAGGGAGGGAACCTGCACATGGAGCTGCACCACGCCCACATTCCAGGGAAGAGCAGGGGGCAAACAAGCACTCATTGAGGTGCTCCAGGTCACCCCCTTCCCCCAGGAAAACCTGAACCACTGTCGCAGCCTCGCGCCACTCAAGCGTGCGGGTATGAATGAACGCCAAGCCTCCAACGCAAAGACAGGACAGTCCGCCAGCCAGGACGACTCCAGAACCTCGTAACGGACAAAGAAATGGAACCAAGCCCCAAACCTGAACGAAGACGGATTCATCACCAAGGCATAATCAGTCACGCAGGAGGCAAGCCGCAAGGGCTGCCCGCACCACAGAAGGTTGGATGCGAGAAGCCAAAAACCTCCGGAAGGACGGAACCGACGCAACCGAACCCGGGGCAGATACCAAATCCAATTCGAACGCAGAGGGGGGGGGGGGAGAAGGGAACCCCACTCCTTGTAACAACAAGCCCCGCTCAGAGGGTAGAAAAACCCAGGCAGGGTCCAGCAGGACCTTTCCCAAGTCAGCCCCTCCCCCGCCCTAGGATCCTCCTCCGCAGGACCCGGGGCCAAGTCATCTCCCAAAGCACCGGCCTCAAAAGACAAGGCTGGCACAACCTCGTAAACCAAATGGAAGGGGGCACACTGGTCAGACCCGGTGGCTTCAGCAGGAAGACTGGACTCGAATTCCTCCGTCGCCACACTGGAAGGGGCATCCCCCGAGACTACCCGAGCCTCAAGACCATCTAAACCCTGCACCGGCTCCGAAACCCTCAGACGCTTCGGGGCCAGAAGCAGGGGGAGTGGGGGGACCAGAACAAACCACAGGAGGGGAAGGACGTTCGGATCAGGACGAAGGAGGGGGCGGACTGAACTAAGGTCGAAGCGTCCCCCACCACCAAGTCAGGGGAACAATAAGCAAAACGGGGCAGCCGGGTGAGCAACCACCCTAAAACGTGCATGCAACGCCTGCACCGCCTGTACCCTCATAAGATCATCACTAGACTGGGTAAATTGAGTAACCAGCAAGCAGCATTACTCACAGGACTCAGGGTCGAGTGTCACCGACCCAACAGGCAGCATGACGGAGGCAAAGACAGTCAGGGTCACCCTGAGACAAGGGGACCGATTAACCCTCAAACACGCACGAAGCGAGGGGGGACCCCGGGGTCACATCCATCAGACCCAAGTGCCCCCAGAGGTTTCTTAGGGCCCTGAGCGCTTAACGACTTACTCCCAGGTAACCCCAGGCAGGGGTACCGTTAACCGGCGCCTAAAACTACCAAGCAAACTCACTAAAGCTGTACCCCAGGGACGTGTACACTCAAGGGAACCTAGCAGGGGGCACCACCAGAGAACCTAGGTCAAGCACAAGTTGCCAAAAAGCAGGGCAGATCCCCCCACAAGGCAAAAAAGAAAACCCAGCAAGAGGACAGCGTACCCTAGAGGAACAGAGCCGGCCACTAATCAGTGAAAACAAGCTATGCAGCACCCTGTGCCCCGAACCAGTGCAAACTGCCTCTTACCCTAAGGTAAACAAGGGAGACAAAACACCCAAGCACCCTAAGGGCGGTCAAAAAACCGAGCAATAAAATGGCCAGCAGAGACAGGACCCAAGGAACTTGTGGAAAGTAACCCCAAGCCCCAAGGGCAGTACTTACAGGGCACCTAGGGAAGGGAACCTTAGGCGCATGCAGCCCGAGTACTGGAGAATAACTCCTGGCTCTCGCACCCCTAGAAGACAGCCACTACACTCAAAGCAGTGCTGAAATTATGTCTGAAGCTAGAGGACACGACCACAGCCTCTAGCATCAACCTAAGAACTAAAGGGTAGATAGCTAGCGTGTGGTCTTGGGCTCCACCTTCCCCCCTCCCAGGGAAGGGGGGATCAGCGCAGACAGCGGAGCAGTGACGTCATGATCGTTTGCTCGTTTCGTTTAGGGGAGTTCTATCCACTTGTTCGGCTTTTGGTAGCAATATTTTCAACAGAATAAGGGTTTGTTTCGGGATGCTTATCTTTCTGGGTGCCTGACCTGCTCGATGGCAGACATAGAATGCTTCCAACCACACGGGGGTTTCTATAGGCCATTGCTTCCCTTGCCTCTTGAGGAGGCCAGGGTCTGGCTCGTAGTCTCCGGTAGGCCCATAGAACTCCATACACATGACTAATGCCAAAGTCTGACATTAGCATATCAGCCTAGTAAGCTCCGAGAAGCCGAAGGGGCTCCCTCCAGAAATTTAACTGTTTACCTTTACAAAAACCATGCTACTCATATTCTCATATATAATTCCAGATATCTTGCGGAGCATGCAAAGGCATATTTGTAAATGGATGCCATTTCTGTTAGCATCAATGCTATTTTCCGTTCACTTACTGAACTGTCCGTGATCCTGCTTAATTACAGTTGCTTACCCTTTTACTTTTATGTTCATGTTGTGCTAGTTAGTACCTATGCCACATTCTTAAGTATTTCCCCAATTACAAAGGAAGCTGTTATGAACCGTTATATTTCACAAACACCAGGTATATCAAACAATGTAAAGTTTAATAAAACTGTATTTAAACCATTAATTATTTTGCATTAAATACTTTAAATACTTCTATTTATAGTAGTCAATGTAAACATACTGACAACCATACACTTATAACTCACATATCAACTCGTCTTCTCTTTTAATAGGTCATGTTTTGCATGTTTTCATAACCAATGCTACAAATGTAACCTATTAATTTAAGAAAAGTAACGGCTCACATGCACATGTTATCTGCTGGAGAACAGACGAGCATCTTACATGTCAAGATGTACATTGCTTTTTATTTGCACTGGTACACTTTAATATTAATGTAGAATAATACAAATTAATTCTACTGCAGCCATCCCACACAGTGGGACACTACATTACTGTGCTTTTATAAAACAGCAATTTTAAGATAGTGACATTTAATAAGATATTGGCAGAATGATTGAATAAAAATTCCGCTAAAGGCCATTTCTTTACTCAAATTTTATATTCAACAGTCTTATAAATAGTACATAAATGTGCACTGTAAGAAATACCGAGACTAAATGCAAATTGCATAACGTCACTGATTTTTATAAGGCTCTAAAAGACCCACTTTCCATTGTCCCTGATTTTACCATCAAAATATCACTTTGGAAATTAAAAAAAAAAAAATAGAAATGTGACTGCTATACCCAAAATATTATCAAAATCCTTATCATTCACAATCCAAATTAAGCTTATAAAACTAAAATGATCCCAATTTTGGTTATCCTAGATGTACAGTATAGTAAGTTATCTCAAAATGATTAATTTTTGTTTTTAAATTGGCTGGATGTTACAACAACAAAAATGATAACTTCATTGGGTTTACTTCGGACATGATCAACCGCTAGTTTTATTTTCCACATCTCGGTATCCAATTTAGCAAGTTGCACAAACAAAAAAGTTTGTTGTATTTTTATTAACCCATCTCCAGTACTGTAGAACTGTCTATAAAATTTTCAGGTCATCTATCTCAAAATGTTCATTGTGTACATCAAAATTCTTACTATAAGTTCTATATAAATATGATTTATGGTCTTATTTGTGGAGGTCCGGCCATCATTGGAGGTCGCATCCCACCAGGGCCCATCATCATTGGTCCCATGGGACCACCCATCGGAGGTCGCATTCCTGAAATACCTATATTAATTTAACATCTTTTAGTAAACTAGGTAAAACTGAGTATTAGTGATGGTACAAGAGTTGAAGAAACACGGTACCTAAGAGGCTTGGGAGAGCAAAGCTTATGTGACGTGCTCACAAGAGTTCTTTATGGATGAACAGTCCAAGATAATAGTATCTGGAACTGAGATACAGTGTCCCATTTATACAATAAGGGGTAACATTCTGCTCTGCCATGTTATGAAATAGAATGTTGCATATAAGAAGTAAACTTGATGAAATCAAAATGATTTTTTCTGAAATGTTAATAAAAGCCCTTCAAAAAAGCTTAAACACTTGAAAACTTGATATGGTTGGTAATTGAGAATACAGAAAATAACAATGATTGTTAAGTGATGATTAAGATGGATTTTTTAAAGACATTGCATGAATCAATTATCTGCAAATGACATCAAATGAAAATGGCCCACAAGAGACTAAATAAATAACACTATAATTTTTAGTGAATGCCTCAATATCATTTCAGAATGAAAATATTGCTGTGTTTTTGACACAAGATGAACTACTAGAAATCATAATTGATCACATCTTTATTTAAAAAGAGGACAGACTTAAGTAGCATACAGGAACACTGAGAAATGTCTTACCTGGCATCATACCAGGTGGCATGCCAGGACCCGGAGGGCCACCCATCATTGGTGGCCCCATCATGGGTCCTCTTGGACCCATGGGGGGCATACCCATGTTGCCTGGCATGTTTGCACCAGCCATGCCTGGAGGGCCCATGTTCCCCATTCCTGGCCCTCTTGGAGGACCTCCTGGACCACCCATGTTCTGAGGCCCTGGACCCACTGGACCCCCTGGCCCAACAGGACCTCCTGGTCCTCCTGAAAGTAAACACTTTACTTAGCATACAATAAATTCTACACTTTATTATTTTATCAAGTCATTTTTTGTCATTATTCATGCAAGTACCAAAATTAACACAATTTTTGTGAGGGGCCAAAAATGAAGAATACTTGATTCATGCTTAATAAAAACAAAATTAAATTAAGAAATCATTAAGATATCCAACAGCAGTCAACACGATGAGCTCACCTTGCATGCTGGTCGGTGGAGGAATGGCTGCTCCCTTTGGGATCTTCCCAGCTTTAAATGCAGCAGCTGTAAAACAAAAGTTTTATTACCTAATCAATCAATTATAGCAAGGAGTTATCCCTACTGGAATATCTACAAAAAACTACATAATCCTCAAGCATATAAAACTACTACTGTTCCCATCTGCATACAAAATTGTATTTTCTAAGTGACTTACTGTATTGTGCACAACTCTCACATACATAGTATACATCTCTGCATGATGGAGTATCACACTACAAATTACCGAGACCATGGATACAGAATCCAACAAAGAACTTTGTTTATATTAACAAGTTTGAGCTACTAATATAAAATCTACAGTACATTAAAAGTGTGTGTGCAAATTAGAAAGATATAGTGAGTGTGAGAGCATGGGAGTGCATGAATGCATGTATGGGTTCTGGGCATAGACAACCAGACATAAGATACAAAAGGGTTAAGGAAAACTTTCTGTAATTGGACATTGAAAAAGACAGGGTTGATATTTCACCAAGCCAGCTCTCCCAAAACTCTCATTAACTGTACATTAACTGATTCGGCAAGATTAATCAATGTAAGAAGTGCCATTAGAACTTGTCACACCATATATGACAATTCTTGAATATGCTCCACCATAGAGGAATCAGTAGCTCATTAAATATAAAACAAAGCCAGAGAAAGTCATCAGGTATGCTTCCAGACAAGTCACAGAGGTCAAAGGTTATGAGTTATTGTACAACGAAAGACTTTAGTAATCAAATCACATGTCACTAGGAAGAAGAAGAGATGAGGGATATGTGATACTGTAACCACATACAAAATTTTTAAGATAATCGACAGCAAAACACGGAGAGATTGGCATGGTTGGTACATATACAAGGGGGGACACAGATGGAAACTATATGTATCTGAATGAACCACTGACACGTTACAAAGAATTTATTCATTGTTCAAATAGCCAATAAATAGAATGTACAAGAAAGTGAAGAGGCAGAGAACACCTCCATACACAGTTTCAAATTCAATGACAACCCAGAAGATTAATTACTTGAAAACCAGTTGACTATTGTTGAGACAAAACCAAAGAGCCGAAGCTCTGTCTCTGCAAACTAGGAAAGAATATACAATTTTATATACTGTATTCTCTAATACAATGTATACTATTAGTTATAAAAATACAAAGTGCTGTATGTATGTATGTATGCAAAGAAATACACCAATATAGAGTACTAACTTGTTGCATCAATCAGAGACTGAGCTTGCTCCTCCATCCACTTCTGGTAGTATATTTTGACATTTTCCTTGTGTTTTCGCCCCTGGCAGTGAGTCTTCCGCACCGAGGGCTGTAATATCAGGTCATTTTTTTAATTTGCAGATACTGTAATATCTTCTATTTGTTTGTTTAGTTAAATGAAACAATGACTCATAAAATGTAAGCTGGTCATATATATATATACACAAACCTGGATAAGAAAAACAGCACACAAATTGCAATAATGTATTTAAATAAAAGGGAATGCTGTATTTTAACCATCATGCAGGTAAATGTAAAAATAATGACAATAATTGTATTGTTAAAATTGTAGGAATTTGCAAAGATCTGGGATTATATAAGAACCAAGTTAATTTTAGTCCTGCATAGTCACTTGTTACACCTTTACTAAATATATAAGTGTTAATCACATAATCCTTGGCTTTGGCCCCACTTTCACCACACTTCCTGGCTGCATTTTCTGCACAAAATTATTTGCAAGAGAAAAGTATCAGTCCTATGTACAGTAAGATTCGTTATTTCATTAATGCTACAAAAGGTGAAGAATGATCGAGTTTCAATCGTATACAATTTATGTAGTTCACATATTACAACAAAATAAATAAAAAACATCTGAAGCAAAATCAAGCTCAATCCAAATACACAAATTGCTTATCCACAATAATTCAGTGACGATGAAACAAGGGGCATCATATTGATACTAATGCTCACAGCTGGAGTAAAAATGTTCACAACTAAAGACAAATGTTTTACGGTCTCATGTTACTCTTACTTAGTGTAACAACAATTTTGATTCACCACTACTGTGCTAATGGTTGGCTAAACTTACTATACTAAACAAAAATGCAGAACCAGAACCCTAAGGCTAATTAAAGACAGTACAGTAATGTACATTTACAGTAACTTAAGAAATAAATTAAATCAAGCAATACATACTACATAAGTTCTTAATATAGTATTTATGGTACAGGGTACAGTACTACCTAAGATCATTTGGAAACCAGATACAGTATTTGTATAATGAAATACAACAGCATATGGGAATTATGCCGTTACATCTCATTATACAGTACAAATAATACAGGAAAATTCTTAAAAATTAAAATGAAGTGTTTAATGTAATGAAATGCCCCCTTTCTAGAGGGTTCACATGTGCTCCAGGCAGCAAAATTGAAATCTGGGAAATGAAAGTTTTAATTTCTTAAGATTTTTCTTGGATTTTTTTTGTTATTAGAATGAGAGTTAAAAGGAACACACACAGAACATGCTGTTACTGTAGAAAGTACTACATGTCCTTTCTACATCCTATTATGCAATCTTTACAAATATTAGCTAGCAAACATGCGTACGTTATGAAATTATCATGTATTTATAAATTCAGAATTTTCTGCACCACAATCCTATTTGAAGAGACATTTTCCTATAATTACTAATACGTAAAGTATGACATACTTACGGAGTCATGTGTGAGGTAAGTGTCGCAGTAATCACAGTAGTATCTGGAAGGTACAATAAGTAACTTGAGATTTCTGGTGAGCACCTCAATTTGTTTTACTCACTGTCCAAGTATCTCTAAGCAATAAGAATAATAGAATTGTATTTTTTTTATAACATACTGTAGAGTACAGAATGATATGAAATACAGTACATACAAAACTACAGTAAAATCACACACAGTTTATATTGTAACTGATAAATACCATATATCATTAGGTTAGGCTGGATTAGGTTATGACAGGATAGATTATGGTGGGTTAGTAAGGTCTAATAAAAGTAAAATCTGTTAACAAAACACATTACGTGAAAAATTACATACATCTAAATCTTACTAAACAAATCAACTCTTCCATCAACCCTAGCAATAGTCAAAGAACCTTTGAGCAAGGAAATGAAAGTGGTTATTCAACTGTACAAGTCTGGTGGCCTCCATTTGGACTACTGTAATCAAGCGTGGAGATCTCACATTAAAAAAGGAAATATTTGCAGAGGAGAAAGTTCAAGATAACACGACAAAATTAATTCCCAAAACTAAGTCAGCACTCATACTAGGAATGGTTGAGGGCCATAGGAACAATACCACAAACCAGACACAACAGGGTTGATCTCATCAAGATCTTTAAAATGCTGAACAAGCTGCAGGATATTAATCCAGACCACTTTTTTAAGGCAACCAAAACACATAGAAGGAACAAAAGTGTCAAGCTCAATAAGCCACAATGTAGGACATTAAAACAGGAGATGCTTTTTCAACCATTATTATAAGTCTGATTAGTGTAGTGGCTACGTTCTTGTCTCGTAGTTGGAGATTCTGGACTTGATTCCCGAGTTGGACAAACGTGGTTAAGCAAGTTTCCTTTCTCTTAATTCTTCCGTTCACCTAACAGTAACTAGGTACCTGGAAGTTAGGCAACTGTTGTGGGATTATATTGAGAAAGGTCTGCAGTTCGACTTTTAGGGGGGGGGGGAGGACCTATGTACAAGCCTAAAGTTTATATAAAGATAAAACAAGTTTAACCAATGTAACAGCCTAAGCCATAAACGCCAAGACTGCTTCTGTTCAAAATCCAATAAAAAGATCCTTAGGAACAATGAGAAGGGACCTTTGACCAGGCACTGACTTCCTGTCCCTTTCGAGGCCACTAGAAAGACAGTGACCTTAGGTAAATTCCCCTTTCCACCACGAAACCTCTCCCTGTCATGTGGCGCCCCACTGCACAGGTCTACAGAACATTCCGGACCAGCCCTCGTAGCTGCCTCTCACGGCTAAATGTCACCTCACACGGAGCCGGAACTTAAAGCCTAGCCTGACATCCTAGACAGGGGAGGACCTGGCTCCCTTTACCCCGGGTACCGGGAAGATATTTGAGACAAACTTACTTTGGCATGGTTGAGCGTCGTCAGGTCCAGTGTTTGGGTCCCGCCGGGTCAGCTCTCCCGGCCCCCAGGAACACTCTAGTTACACTCTCACTCACGCTTCTCTCTCACACTACTCGTCATTACACTTAACAATTTTGTAACTACTACTTTGACCGATAGTCAATTAAGGCAATTAATATTATTATTTTGTAAAAATATAGCCAAATTGCCAGTCTGTAGTTCTGAGAACCATTTATTTTGCAAGTTTCCTTACCATGCAAGGCAACAACACTAATTATTTTAACTTACCTGGGCATATTTAACCTATGATATTTATTTTATATGGCATATAAAATAAAATCAAAATATAGTATGATGGGTAGAGAGGGAGAGTGGGGTGAGGGAGCGGGGGTGAGGGAGAGTGATGGTGGGGCGGGAGCAGACGACCCGGCACCGTGTGTAAGTTGTGCTCTCATGGAGCCTCTGTGACCACCTCTCTCCACCACACACACGCCCTCAACAACCCCACCACCACCATGGCTCACCGGCTCCTGACGGCGGCCAGGAGGCTGGAGCGGCTGCTGCAGCACGGCCTCAGGACTGGCTCTCTGGACCCGCTGGTGGTGAGTGACTTGGCTCTATATTGTGGCGTCTTGGAGAGTCTTAAGAGTCTTGGAGGGCTGCCTCCTGCTGGGGGAGACAGCTGGTGATGGCTGCACACCCGTGTATAGGCTGGTGTAAGTGTCTGTGGCATGGGTGTCCCCGCTACTAGTGTTGGGAGACACTGCTGGGCCTATGGTGCCTAGGGTGGTCATGTTTAGGCCTATGCTTTCTCAAGCGGTACCTAGGATGGTCAAATGTAGGCCTATGGTGGCTAGGATATGTAAGCCTATGCGTTGTCAAGTGGTGAGTGTGACAGTCACGACTCTCTCTAAGTTATATTAAACTTAATCTTTTAAGTCATCCTGGCAGGGTGTACTTTTGATGTTATATTACGATCCTTGAGGCAGGCAGAGGGCCAGTGAGCAGGTTTTCAAGTTCAAGTACAATTACCGAGACAATAAGATACATGTCAGAAGGATAGATGTCAGAAGATGTCTCCCTCAGGTCCCTGGAGGGGCTCGCGCAGCCTGCGAGTACACGTCCACACATCACGGTACACGACTCGTTGTCTGCCTCGGATCATGTTGTGTCCATCGACGCAATGAATTATTATAAATGATATTTTACGTTATACGTTAAAATAGTTAAGACTGCATTTTGCCCCCAAGTGTGTATCATTCATTTGTCACACCTCCAAACAATTTGATGTGGTAAACTAACGATTTCCTTATGTCTGTAGTTATCAACGATGACAAATTTCTGGGCAGCGTCTTTGTTAGGCCTGACAGCCTCCCCGCGCCTCGCCACACTGCGATTGGTATTTCTCTTACATTTCTCAACCCACCTATGGTGATACTGTGAGAGATCACCCTACAGTGGTTTTGCTTTTTCACAAATGACCACCTCTGATGTACTATAAACTCTCAAGTCAAGCCTGGCCTCGGGCCGGGCTTCAGGAGTAAAGGAACTCCCAGAACCCCATCAACCAGGTATCAACTATCACCAGACAACTGTTGTTTGTTTATCCAGATCGACAATAATTTCTCAACTTTTAATTGTCTGCAATCCTTGTTTCGTAATTGCTTTCACTCCCTTGGCAACATGAGCTGCTTTGATGGCCTCTTTATTTTTTAGTATTATATAGATGGTAGATTTAGGCATACCAAACTGGGTAGCCAGAGTACACACGCTGACACCACTCACATCTTGCTATGAGTTGTATTTTTCATGCCTATCGTGGTTTCTAGTTTGTTTTCGTTTGACTCATCACTTTATGTACCATGGTGACTTATTTACTTTAAGAGTACAGTATAAAAGTTTTGTCATGCGCTGAATGACAGTTACTGAAAAGTAACTTGTTTGTTATGTACATGTGTACGTTAGTGGTGAGCAATCGGTTGACTACTGAGCTTTCTTTTTCTCGAATAAAGTATTCAAGTACAGAATTGTTCGAGTGTGGAGCCATTCTAGTGCCGAGGCATCAGTGAACTATATTAATCTGTGGTCAAAATTGCATGCCGTAACTACATTGCTGAACAAGATGCAAAATTGTTAGGTTTAATTAATAAAAACATTGAATAGTAATAGTGTATATAGTAACATATAACATGCATCTACCTTAGAGAAGACAAATTAGATTAATTGAGGACTTGCATGATATAAGCCTTGTCAGTGTACCTGTGTTGAGGGGCATTAAGATGACATCTTTATCATTACCTTCCCAATTTCTAATCATTGAGAATCATTAGTTGAGGAAAATAGAATAGCCATGTAGGATTTTTTGTTAAGATCCTTGAACATGAGAGCCATCCATTGAGCACACAGCATCTCTTGCACTAAACTGACTGTCACACTCGGGAAGTTTGCTGCTTGAGGAATAGGCCTCTCATTTGTTTGAATTTCATCCTTAATTGTGTTACGTTGTGTATAATTGTTGAAATAGAAGTTTCTTGCTCATTACTTAACATGGTTTAATGTGACAGTTGGTTGACATAATAGTGTTATGTTAAGTTGTTGTACAGTACAGTACTGTATAATGTATAGTATTATATCAAATAACTAATTTAACAGTTTGAAAACTTATTCCAATCCTGCCTATCCTTCCAATCTTTCATGGGGGAGGAGGGGGGGGCAGTCCTAAGAATTTTTTCTGGTGTAATTTATCAAGCTTTACAAAGTGTAATGCAGTAGTTTATTATTCTACTACCAAGGCTGTAAACCTGCAGCTACCTTTAGCCACTGCAGTATTTTTCTGAAATGGAAAATAAAATTTTCCTTTGAGGGAGAAAAAATTTGTGACAATTCTATTGTTTTTGCTCTACTAAACCTAGCTAAATCTAACCAGTTCTATCCTGACTTTACATAATACTGTATCTGATCCCCCAAAATACAAATAAGACTGTGGTAGTGGTTTCGTATAAGGTATTGTAGCCTATAAAGTTTCTAGACTTTCTTGGCACCTGTATATAGTACACTTATGGCCCATAGTAGATTTGGTTTGATTCAGTTAAGTTAGTCTTACATAACTCAGCCACACTTCTGTAAGACACAGCATAATAAAAAAATAATATAACGAATAACATTTTAAATTTCCCATACCCTAAACTGACTTTGATCTGCAGGTAGGACAGCATCTGGCTCGAATAGAGCTACCATGTAGCATGACACTTCTTCAGCAGTGGCAGCAGTTCTGCCAGAAACCACCTCGGGGTTTTGAAAAATATTTCCGAGACGGAGCTGGTAAGCAAGCGCAGCCAAAAAATGCTAAGCCAGCTTCTAAGGGTGATGCACCAGCAGAACCTTCACAAACTACAAATAAGCCTTCAAGTTCAAAGGATCCATTTAACATCAACTTGTTTAGTCCAGGCACTAAGTAAGTTTTATTATTGATGGTTACAGTACTGTATCTGTATGTGATGGAAAATATTAGGAAACCTTGCAGTACACTCTTGATCTATACATTTCTCTATCCGGCTCTTGCCACCCATTTACACGGGTACCATCATTTGCCCTATTTCCCATTTTTATGGGGTGGTGAGGCAAGAATCCAGAGGAAAATAGAGCAGTGTAGAGGGAAGAATTTAAAAGAAACAAAATAAGACATCCATTCACCGTACTCATGGTTCTGTATCATGTTAAATTGGCACAGTCACACTAGCAAATTAGAGATCCTGTGCAGAAGTTTTGTTTTGCTTAGATTTGGGAATTGAATAGCATTGATCATCAATAAGTAGTACATTACTGTATTACCATTTGCTAATGTTTTATTTGTATTTTTTTTTTAGGTCTGGGGGTGGCGGAAGAGGAGGAAGTGGTAAACCAATAGGGGACAGTGGTGATCGAGACCGGTGGATGGCTTTGGCTGCCATTGCTGCCATGGGCTTCCTTGGGGTGGCAGCATACTACCAGCTGGGCTATCGAGAGATAACGTGGAAAGAGTTTGCAAAAAAGTGGGTTTTATCATAAATCTTAATTTTTCTAGTGGTACTGTGCTTTGTTCTACCATCTCTATCAGCAGATGATTGTGGATACCTGGTATGGTCTATTGAATTAACTTTATTTGGATAATGTGTAGTATAATATACTGTAAATGCCGTGTATAATTCTATGGTTTTAATGGATTTTTTTATACGTACTACATAATAATGCCATGTACAATTCCAAATATTAAAATCATGGGTCTAAGCACCTACATTACTTGCTTGTGCTGGTTGGGTTGTGGACTCTTCCTCCTATGCCCCAAGGGGACGGTACAGTTAGGTCCCTCCCTCTCACCAACCAGAGCTTTGTACTCCCACCATCTTTACATAGCTGTGTAGTCCCTTCCTCTGAAGTGAGAGTCTGCATCTCTTATATTTGATTTATTGTCAACATACAGTGCTCAGGAAATGGTTTTTGCTCTGTGGCAGAGCTTAGCAACTGGCTGCTGCTCTTCTGTAGGTAAAGCATAATTCCAAATCTAAAGTGTTGCTTGATGATGCAGTCTGCTTTATGCTTGATCCTGCTTCTGCATTGGATTCCAGGGGCCAGATTCACAAAGCAGTTATGCAAGTACAGTACTTACAAACATGTTCATCTTTCCTCAATCTTTGACGGCTTTGGTTACATTTATTAAACAGTTTACAAGCATGAAAACTTTCCAATCGACTGTTGTTATTGTTATAGACAGCCTCCTGGTGTTCCGAAGCGCATTAACTGTTTAATAGTTGTAAACAAAGCCGCCAAAGATTGAGAAAAGATGTGCAGGTTCGTAAGTGCTTGCGTAACTGCTTCGTGAATTTGCCCCCAAGCCAGATTGTAAATGTCTCCAGGCAGGGGGGTTCTTGTATACTTTCTCCTTGATTTGAGAGTAATGCTTTCTCATTTTTGGTTTGAGTCTGGTTTATCCATGTCATGGTGGATGCTGTCCTGGTGATCCAAAGCGTCTTCCAGTCTCGCCTGTTTGCAGTTTGGGTTCTGCTCCAGGATGATACATCTGCTTTGGGCTTCAGTATCTGATCCTCTCATCCACTTGGCTGGTTGCCAGTCCTGTATTTTCAGGAGGCAGTAGCTTCCATTTGTTGATTTAAATGTGCTATAGTGAAGGACTCTCCACTGATTGTTGCATGGGGAGTTTCTAAGGAGGATTTCATATCATATCTACATGGAGCAGGTGACATTGCTACTTCTGTGGGTTTCCTATTCGCAAAACATTCTTTTTGGCAATGTCCCATTCTGACCTTTATGTTTACAGTTTTTGTTTTTTGTTTTTTTTGGCACCTTTGTCACTGGCTGCCTTCCCAGGATTTCCCACCTTCACCACCAGCATGGTCGTTTGGGTGGCTTTCATCTGGGTAAGCTATTTCTCACTTAGAAACACTAGGTCCCCCATAACAGCGTCTTTCAGTCTTTCTACTGTTGGCCCTGCTGTTTCTGGAACCCTACTCTGCTGTTTATGAAGTTTTACTCATTGTTTATCACTTCATCATGCTTGCCTTGGGAAGATTAGATTTGAATACCTCAACCCGAAATGGGCCGGGTTTGGCATCGTGGGCAGTTCTGGTTCCTTTGGGTACGTCCCTTCCACCTCTCTCGCGATCGCTGGGTTTGGCATCCGGGTGCCTTGCGTCGGCCGCTGCGTCGCCGGCTTCCTCTTCAGGTATTTCGAGGTTCAATGCCTTGGTGCCTACCCGATCCCTCACTCGATGTGTTCACAGACGCGTCGTCTCTTGGCTGGGTTTTGTGACCAGTGCTCACCAGGCCAGCCAGGGGTGGTGGGATCTATCTATTGGGCCCAAACAGCATGGTGCAGGAGTTAGCGCCAGTGTGGATGTTGCTCTGAAGGGTTAGTCACTCGCAGATCGACGATCTGGCTTGATTCGGATTGCTCCACAGTGGTTCGTTGCCTGAATCGCGGGGATTCGATGTGTTTCTTGGATCTTTGAGGCTGGTCGCTTCGGGTGACTTGTCTGCCAAGTTATCTGGGCTTGGCTCTCCTGGCCGTTCACGTTCGGGGGGGGGGGGGGTCCAACATCATGGTGGATGGCCTGTCATGGTTCATTCCCCTGTCCACGGAATGGACAGTCGCCGCCAACTTGTTTAGTTGGCTCTGCCGGATGTACGGGCTCCTAGGGTGAACCTCTTCGCGGCGGCATTGTCGAGGTGTCTCCTGGTATATGTGGTGCCCTTCCCCAACTGCGAGGCCGGCAGGGTCGATGCCTTCAGGCAGGACTGGTCTAAGTGGGGTTACTTGTACCTCTTCCCCCCGGTTCTGCTGTTGCTCCAAATTCTAGCTCGCTTGGAGACTTGCCAAGGGATAGTAGTCCTGTTGGCCCTTTGATGGCCGGCTTAGCCTTGGTTTCAGGTGCTGCTTGCGCGGTGTCTGAACCCAGGGGTTTTCCAGCGGCTCCGCCTTTTTTGGCAGATTGGACCAGTCCGTTACATAACTGGTTCGATCTTCTCCTAAAGTCTTTGCGTCTGATCTTTCTGACGGGGTCTATCACCATTTGTATGGTGATTGGGTGGCTTCGTTGATGGTGTCCTACCTGCGTACTTCTTCTCAACGGCAGTATAAGGTTTCCCTGGCGCTCCTTTCATTATTTCTTATCCCTCCGTAGGTTTCTTCCGTTTCAGATAAAGTCGTCTTGTTCTTCCTTTAGTGGTTGTTTCAGGACTGTCATCTTATGCTGAATACTGTCGTCTCATATCATGTGGCGCTGCCGGAGCTGCTTCAGCTTGCGTTCGGGGTAGATGTTACTTCTGCTCCGTTCTGCATGCTGTCTCGTGCATTGTTTCACCTCCGGCCTGCTCATGTGCCGACTGAGCCTTTCTGGTCGTTGGACAGGGGTGCTCTTTTCTTTCTTCTAGAATAAGACTGCTGCTTTCCAGAGGGGTCCTTGGATTGTTGATGCTTGGTTGGTTCGGCCAGGGATGCATCATGTGTTTGGTTGGGCTCTTTGCCGTTACCTGTGCACCATGGCCTCATTGGCCGGGGATGCCCTTTGGGTTGACCCAGTTTACCTTTTTCCCTGTTCCAGGGTTCATGGTCTCCCAGGTCGTCCGCAGGATTATTCGGTCCAGCCAGCTTGCAGTCTATCCTCGTGCCCAAGATGTTTGTAAGTTTGCTGCGTTGGCTGCTGTCTTCAGTAACATGTCTTGGGCTGACATTTGGGCACAAGGTTTTTGGAGGTCGAACAGAGTCCTGGCCGCTCGCTATCTTGTCAATGTTCCTGGCCCTAGTCGGGCATGTGTCGCATTGGGTCGGCGGTTGCAGCCAGTTGTCTCGACTTCGAGTTGAGTAGTGAGCGGCGACCGCCTCCTGGGTAAGTTCCTCTTGTTTTTCTCTTTGGTGAAGTAGCTCCGGGGAGCCAAAGGGGCTCCCCCCCCCCCCCCCCCCTCCAGAAAACCAGCGTTGAATGTAATGAAACAACATTTTTTTAGTGTGAGACCCGGAGGCTTCCCAGCAACCCTCCCTCCCTCCGGTCGCTATTTTTTGTGAGTTTTGACATCCAGCCTCAGAACTAGGGGTGTGAATAGCCGGCACGGGAGGGGTCTAGAGACAGACAGACAGCAGCGCGGTGACGGTTGTGACGTCTTGCTCGTTTGCTCATTTTTCATTTGGGGAGTTCTGTCCAACAGTTTGGCTTTCAGTAGCAATATTTTAACCAGATAGGGTTTGTTTTGGAATGCCTATCTTTCTGGGTGCCTGACCCGGTTGATGGCAGACATAGAATGCTTCCAATCACATGGGAGTTTCTATAGGCCATTGCTCCTCTTGCCTCTCGAGGGGGCCAGGTTCTGACTTGGGGTCCTAGGTAGGCCTAAGAACTCCATTAGCTTTGATGCCAGGGTCTAATATATTCATGTCGGCCCGGATAAGTCCGAGGAGCCTCCGGAAAAGCCACATTTATTCACTTTTTCACTCCTATGTTTTTATCCCACCCAAAATCTCTAATTTAACAATTATCCAGTGCCTCCCAACAACTAGTATAATCTGATAAGTGATCTCTTTAAATATCCCTATGTTCTGGTTCAGTGTTGTTGCACTAAACTCATTTCTGTGAATTTATATCCCTCTTATAGTACAGTGACCCAGATTGAGCTGCATAATCTAAATGGAGCCTAACATTAGGTTATGGGGTTAGGGAAATATCTTTATACCCTAACTTAGTTCAATACAGTATTGATTTAATAGGTTGATTTTAAAGCTGGTGTATTTAGACATGATTGCATTGTTATATATACTTTTGTTTGGGTCTGTAATGAAGGTTAAGGTCCATTTGAAAGGTCAAGAAGCATTTCATTCATTTCTGACAAATAATAAATTGGATGGTTATTTCAGATTGTGTCTAGGAGACAGGTGCTAATGTGAGATTTGGTGTGAATTTTATGTGGTGCTAAGCTTTTTCTATACTTTTATATAATTGGCATCTCTGTAAGGTTATTTAGACACTTGGTTGCAAGAAGTGAAATTTATGACCCCTATATGACCCTAAAGAAATTTATAACCCCTATTATTTGATAGTTTTATGAAAATTAAGCAGTTAGTACTAAGCATAGTGGTTCAGTGTGGTCCCATCTACAGTATTCTTGTATATGATTACTTTACTTTCTTGAGGGTTATCTTTATTTTTCTTATGTTAGAAGTATGGAGGAGAGAACTATAGGCAATTGCTCTGCAGAAGTGAGCGTAGTTAAGACTTAATACACTAACTTCACTTCATCCATCATTAAGCTGGGGATGCATTAATACTTACCATATTCAGTACTATATTTCTATATAATTACACATTTATGGTGTTGCTAGAAAGACATTTACAGTATTTATGTTTAAGAATTCATTGTTATTATTTCCAAGTGCTGGGTATTTACTTTGGTATTTCTTTTATAGTTACCTGGCCAAGGGCATCGTTGAGAAGCTGGAGGTCATCAACAAGAAATGGGTTCGGGTGAAACTGATGCCGGGTAACCAGGTTGAAGGGGCTGTAAGTATCCATTGAGGTGGCAACAGTAGTAATGTGTTCCAGTATGTCTGCAGCGAGGTGTGCTTAACCCTTAGACCGCTAAGGGCCTTTTGGCCTTCAACACCCACACGCGCAACAAAAACAAATCCAAAAAATTCTTTCATCTTATAAAAGTGTTCATTTGTGTTCCCTGATCATGGGAAAAATTAAAAAAAAATCGTAGGTGGCATATTTTGGCCACGATATTGCAAGGAAGTCTGGCAAAAAAAAAAAAAGTGTTGACAGAGCAGTCGCCAGATGAGGTCTGCTCTGCCCGAGCTGTCAGGCAGAGGGATGCCACAAAGATATTATTACCTAATTATTTCAATGTCTCTTGATTGTTTTTTTTCAGTAATATTACTCAATAGTGTGTATTGTGATATATAATAAAATGTGTGAACCATCGCTGTACTCAAAATTATGGTGTGCATATAAGTGATTCAATTATTATGTTCATAAAACAATAAATAGTTTTGCTGTTATTACACTATATACACAGGTTATATACAAGTTTCTGCATGTTTTGTTCACCATAACAAACCACTAAGTTGGTATTGAGTCAAAAAGCAACGGAGTGCCTTCACTCACGTGCCAGCCAGCCACTCGTCACTACTCCCTCCCTCACCTCACTCGCCCACTTACTCCTCCCACCATACTGTTTTTGCTTTTATTCACTATACATAGACGTTATATATAAATATCCATGTTTTGTTCACCATAACTGTACATCTAAGCTTGTATGGTGAGTTCAGGCAATAAGAGTCACACAGTCAGCTGGTGACTGCCGCCGTCACTGGTTCAAGGCCAGATGCACTAATATTTCTTGTCCAACAATACTGTTTGTGGTGTTATTACACTATATACACACATTATATATAAGTATCTACACGTTTTATTCACCATACCTGTACAAATAAGCTGGTATGGTGCCCAAAGACCATAGTGGCCACCAGTAAACATCATAACAAGTTATGCAGACGACGCACCTCCCTCACCAAAATGGCGGCTCCCAATATACTCCTGTTGCTGTTATTACACTCTATACACACGTTATATATAAGTATCTACATTTGTGTTGACCATAGCGAACCCCTAAGCTGGTATGGTGAGTCCAGTCAATAAAAGGTGGCCACACACAGTCAGAAGATGCCACCTCCCTCCCTCCTTCCCTCAGTATTACTCCTCCCATCATAGAGCACAGCGCTAAATATCACCACAATCCTGCTGTTATCAGAATCCTGGTCAGTTTTATAATAATAATTTATTTAGGAAAAGTACATACATAGTTGCAGAGTTACAGTACAAACATTGTTTGATTTAAAGATAGAGGTAGTACATACAATACCTAAAGCCACTAGTACGCATAGCATTTCGGGCAAGTCACAGTGAGGGGTCTTCTGTAATACTATCATTGCTAAATAATAGCATGTACATATATATTTTGACATTTTTAGGCGATGCAGTGTTCACAAGCTGAACAGCGGTGCTGTGAGCTCATGCTGTGTGCGCCAGCCTTGGTGGCTCACTCAGTACTGAGGCTCTCGCACCCCAGAATGTTGTCCACGATTTTTTTTTCTAGGTGGCGTCTGGTAACTATGGGTCATGGGCTGTGAGAAGTTGTCGTGTCTTCCCTGTATGTACACTGTATGGATGGTGTGGGATATGCATGGATAAATATATAAGAGTTAAAGATGTAGAAATGGTCATTCTGAGATGTTGAAAGATTGCACTGACATTAATTTATGGTAGGAGCATGAGGCCCAAGAAGATTAATACTTTTTAACTGATTGATGAAGCTAAAACAGTCTAATTTCTAAATTTCTGTAAATCCACTGAACTTGTTAACCCCTCTGTGCTCCTTCATGACAAAAATCTTGAAATACATAAGCAGAGTGTAGGCAGTGGTTATCAGGGAACCAACCAGAGATCACCTCGGCCAACTAACCTGTCACTCAACACAATAATTGTTTAGCTTGTACATATTTTATTGTCGCTTAGCAAATTTCCTGACGAAAATTGTGCTAGTAATGTTTGGTTTCTTTTTACAGCTATATAGATCTATCACTTGCAAACATGTTCATACCTATTATTTACCATAAATATATAGATGAAGAATTGTAAAAAAATGTTATAAACCTTCATTTACTTGGCAATGTCACACTTCAGCTATAATGCATATACCATTTATTATTCATTTGTGCTTTACAGAAATTTATTTTTGAAGGTTTTGACGCAAAATTAATATTAATAAACCAATAAATAAGTTGAAAACTTTGGAACATCATAAACATTTCACTCGGTGCGGAGCAGGGCCCGGACTATTTACAACCGGTGCACGGGAAGGAACCAAACTCCGTGAATGTTGACTGCGATGGTGAGCAAGTGTGAAGATGTGGGGAATAAGTGTGAACAGCACAGAACTACTGTCATACTTCATGTATGTGTTTGAATGATAACTAGTGGGAAAAGCACTTTATACCTGGTTTTAAAGCAGTGGAGTGCTGCTGCAGCTGTAATGTTGCAGTGTAAATATATGAAGGTTTGGGTACTGCAGTATGTGGTAGTATATGTATTTGGGTATTTTTTATTATAATTTTTTCCCATTATCCTTTTATTTATTTCTGGTAGATGCCTCCTTGCCCATGAGAGTGGGAAAAATTGGGGTAAGGGGTAGTGGTGAAGATGAAGATATACAGTATGCTTACCAAATAACAAATGGGACTGAGGGGACAATGTTTTTTTACCCAAAAGTGCATACTGTAGAGGAGTATTATTGAACCTATCACATAGTCATTCATGGTGAACTTGTGCCACTTTCACACCACTAGCTGAACTGTGTATACTCTGAACTTATAATATGTTCAAGATCTTTCTTAAGCTTTGTCCCAACGCCACAAATTTGCTGATTGTGTTGAGCATTTAGGTGCACTTGTTGACACTGCCTGCAGCCCCACAACTTCCCTCACTAAAGGAAACCAGGATATATTGACTGTCTTAAAACTAATAAGAACATATTTTCTTACACTTGTATCGTCAATTAGAAATGTCTGCATAGTATAATTCTACCACACTGATATTTTAGGTACAGAATTGCTGAAAAGTGCGCAACTGGTTAATGTTTTGCAGAGCAAACATTATTATTTGAGTATGTTATCACCCGGGAACAGGGGCTGTGAAGAAAATGTTTGTATTTAAAGCCTTGTTCTCAATTGCAGACGACACTGTGGTTCAGTATAGGTTCCGTTGATGCCTTTGAGCGTAATGTTGAGACAGCACAGATAGAGTCCGGCATTGAACCAAGCAACTTTATCCCAGTTGTATATAAGAATGAAGTGGAGGCATCTACCTTTACATCCTTCTTACCAACGCTACTAATAATAGGTATAGTAGTGCCTTTTTGAGATATAACTTTTAAGACGTTAATATTAAACATTTGTCAATCGTATTAAAAAACATTAATATTAAACATTTGTCAATCAGTATAAAATGATAGTTTTAATAGCTAAATTATTACATTTTTATTTCTACTGCAGTGCCTTGTGCAAATTTTATACATTATTAAATGTAGAAGGGACATTTTTTTTTCGTGTTTTATCTCTGGCGTTTAATTTTTTGTCAATTATCCTTTAATTTTGCATTATTTAATCCACTCAAAACAATGGCTTTTAAAGGCAAATATTTTTAGTTAAGGCAAAATAATTATTTTTTCTGAGTAGGAAATATACAGAATGGGTTACCAAATTATATAATTAGGTATAATGCCATGTTTCATTTAAAAATAGAATTGGTAAGTAGTTCTCTTTGTAGTTCTCTCTGTAGTTCTCTTCTAGTCCAGGCCTTACAGTGTACAACTTTAAGTTTTACATAAACAAAAATACCTAGTTTAGATCTAAAGGTCTATTGCTGTTTGAATTCCCTGGTAATGCTTTGTAAAAATATGCAGTGCCAATATTAGGTTCTGGGAAGCTTTTGAAGGACAGCCCAGAGAGGTATTTCATTACATTCAATACTTATTTTTAGACAACACGCATGCACTTTTTGAAATACCCTTGTACTATGCTTAGTTTCATTGATACATCTCTGGATACTTTTAGGCTTTTTGATCTTCATGATGAGGAGATCCGCACAGATGATGGGAGGGTCGGGTGGACGAAGGGGCGGAGGCCTTTTTGGCGGGGTTATGGAATCTACTGCCAAGATGGTCAACCCTGCTGATATTGGTGTTAAGTTCCAGTAAGTTAGGTTTAGTTTGCCTTTTGAACAGCATTTGCATGGATTGATTATTGATTTATGGTTTAAATATTTTTACTTCCATAAACGTGTGTTTCTCTTGGCTGTAGTCCCGTGCCTTGGTTTTCTGCCATTTATATCCAAATTTTTCTCAATTTTTATTTTATGAAACCTATTGGTACAGTGGTACCTCAGCTTATGAATTTAATCCGTTCCCAGAAACAGCTCGTAAGCCGAATATTCGTAAACTGAAGCGAAATTCCCCATAAGAAATGATGGAAATTAATTAATCCGTTCCAGACTCCCCAAAAAATTAACTTCAAAGAAAATTTTATACCTAATTCACCCAAATCTTCAGTGCTAAAGTATGTACAAGTTATTACTTACCTTTACTGATGACTCTTATTGGCGTATGGAAGACGGTGAGGAGGGAAAAAGAGGAGAGGTGTTAGTGTTTGGAAGGGGAGTCCCCCCTTTCATTATAACTTCAGGCAGTGATGGCTTTTCTGGGATACACTCTCTGGCACGTTTTGCCTGCATACTACTAGGACCTGCTTGTGGCTCACTGCTTGTTTTTCTCACTAAAAACCTGTTTAGCGACACTTGTTTTTCCCTCATTGTAACCTTTGTCTGAAGTGAGACATCAAATTGTCATTGAAAAGGTTAACACAACGGTCTGCTACAGCTTGATTTGGGTGACACTTTTCAGCAAAACTTTGCAATTCTTCCCATACTGTACACATTTTCTTAATAAATGAGAAAGGGACATCCTCTACTTTATATCAACAACCCTCATACCATTTTCATATTTACGAATGATCTCTTGTTTTTCCCTCCATGGTCATTTTCACGTGTTTTCTCGGCTTGAACCTTACCACTGGCTTTCTCGGGACCCATGGCGGGATATATAATAACAAATTTTATGTTCAAATAGCCAAAAATCCCCCCAAAAAACTAATTCTTTACAAAGAATTCAGGCGCGATTGTCACTAGGTGGAAGGCACTGGTAAACTGAGGCACGATCACCGTGCCACCAAGCGCTAGGCCGATCCATACGCATATCAACAAACTTGTTTCCCGAGGCAAAGTTCGTAACCCAATTCGAATTTTCCAAAGAAATTGGGCTTGTAACCCAAAAAGTTCGTAAATAGGGGCATTTGTAAGCCGAGGTGTCACTGTACTACTGTATATTGAAAAGTAAGTTTATTTTTAAAATATTCTCAAAGGTGTTTAATATTGTTGTTGCTAATGGAAATACAATAATAGTTGCAAAGAGATTGAGAAGATTGAATATAGTGAAACATTGGATAGTAGGGGCTTAGACTTAATCAAACTAAGTGGGTTTCCATTATGTATTATACAAGCTGAATATGTTTTGGATGTACCGTTTCATTTTTTACTAAGTTTATTACAGTATATACTGATAGTAGAGGTATTTACCTGCTGTTGACTTGTTGCAGAGATGTTGCAGGGTGTGAGGAGGCTAAAGTGGAAATTATGGAGTTTGTCAATTTTCTGAAGAACCCCCAACAATACACCGAGCTTGGTGCCAAGATCCCCAAGGGTGCTATTCTTACAGGCAAGGAGCACACTCTTCATTCATGTATTTTTTTGGTAGTGCAGTATAGTTTAGCGAAAACATTTTTTTTACTAGACTTGCCATACTTTTAGCACCAAAAGTAAATGGGTATCTTGCTAGAGAGACAATGAGCTCCTTGTTTTTTTCTATTTTTTCATTAAAGTTTCTGTGCATTTTTTGGTAACAACTTTCACCAACTTAAAACACTTTGGACGACAACAACAACAACAACAACAACAACAACAACAACAAATGGCCGAGGACCATAACCTTATTATGTTTTACCGAGTTGTAATGGGCCGTCTCAATTTTTTTTTTTCTTTCTTTGTTCCTCTCGTGTCTCTTGAAGTTTCTTTGTGTGTTTCTCACTCATTCATACTGTAATTGCAAAGGCAAATTCCATATCACATGTTCTTGCTTCTTGATACAAGCTTTACTTTCATGTTAGTCACACCAGCTTGTAGAAATTTTTGGCAAGTTTTGGATAATTCTGCTGCCTTTTTGACATAAGACAGTTGAAATGTCTTGAAGTTATTGTAGATTCAGATAGAGAAGTTCTTAGAGGGGAAAAAGTATCAGAAATTGGATAAGTAAAAATATGTATATAAACTAAATTTTGAAATGTTAAGAGCTTGTAAACATTGCACGTCTTATATTCCTGATCTGTTCTTCAAATTATTGTTATCTTGTTATCTTTTTTACTACAGGACCCCCAGGAACAGGCAAGACACTTCTGGCTAAGGCAACTGCTGGTGAGGCCAATGTACCTTTCATTTATGTCTCGGGTTCTGAATTCCTCGAGATGTTCGTTGGTGTTGGTCCTTCGCGTGTAAGTAATTTTAGTGCCTATAATCTAATGTGTGTTAATTTTAGTAGTGTAGTGTTTATTCTAAACTATTGATACATTTTCTGAGCTATTCAATAGTTTACTTCCTAAGGCAAGATCCTACTGGTCCCCTTGGAAGGATCTCCAACAGTTGGGTCAGACTTAACAGTTCTCCTTTGGTTCAGTTGTGATTTATTTAAACTTCCATTTGGGTCATCCTGGTACTAAGGAGAATGACTTTTAAAGGGTTCAATAAAAACAATGCCCCTACAATTGCAACTTGGCATTTTAAGTCACAAAATAGTACTCTTACTGACTGTTACTTAGGATGAACACTCATCCTAACTGCTACACTGGCCACACAATGTGGCAGCACCTGCACCGCAACGGTGTCTCTTACCTCGACCCCATTTGCACTCCTGGCTGGTGCCTGGTTGACCTTCAGTTCAGGAATATTCTTTTTTTGCATATCTTGGGCATCTTTCACTTCAAACATTTCTTAGGGTTATTTGTGGGAAGACTTAACACTTGAAAGCTCACCATTTCATTCTAAATTTAGTTCCTAGGTCACTTACAAGACTTAAAATCTGGTTGTCTAGGAAATTCAACCCCCAAAAATAAAAAGAGTACCATACTGGCTTTATTTCTTGAATGACCATAGTTTGGGACTCTGACAGTGTCTTAAGTCTCTTTTTATTTGTTTTGCATTGATTGTGAGTGATGTCAGTGGTGATCCAACTCACAGCAATGTTTGTGTCACTGATGTTACTAGTGAGGTCACACACAGTGATGTTTATCACTGATGTTACTGATGACATCAGCAATGGTATGGCTTGTCACCAACCCATTCTCTTGTTTAGATGGTACCTATTGTGATGGTCGTCAATAGTCACGAATTCATACGTACTTAGCTTTTAGATAGTAGTATACTGACTAGTAAGGAATTCTTTTAAAATACATGAAGTTAAAAAACTAAATATTCTTAGGCCTAGTATAGCTCATACATATACTATATTAGGCCTCAGGTATGGTATCATGTATTAGGCCTAGAAAGGTCAAATTAGGTTAGTTTAGTTTGTCAAAGCAACACATGGCAAAAATAGTTTTCCGGTTTGTCCAACTCAATAGTGCCGATTTATACTTTCTAATTTCGTTGTACGTCGGTATATATACTATGGTCTTCATCGTTACTGTAAGTACATGTACAGTACTACCAAAACAAGAGGATGGGCTGTTGTCACTGATGATGTTACACAGGGTGAGGTTTACTGCTGATGTTATGTACTGATGAGAATAACGGAATGGCTCTGCTGCAGGCTTCTGTGCTGTTGTAGATGCTGTATTCAAAACAAGAACAGCAGTGATAGTGAGAACAGTGGTACCAGGTAGCTGGGACAGGAGCTGGAAAGTGTGAGTGGGGTGGGGGTGGGGGGTTGATTCCACTAATCTGTTACCGGTGTTAATGGTTTGTTGTAGTTTGCTTGTCATTGGGAAGGAATGCAGTACAAAACACCTGTGGCCTTCTCTTCTTTTCTTAATAAAATATATAATACATGCCTGGGGCCACATAAAGAGCTATTGTGTGTGTGCATGCTGACACTGATCTTCTCTCATCGTATGGGTCTTCAGCTACCTCGAACTAGTACACAAGGAGTGCCTTATTCCGAAAGATGCTGAGTTGATAAGAGTAGGCATAGCAAGGCGTCCCCCCCCCCCAACACCAAGATGTTCAACACATCTCCCTTCCAGGGCCAACTGACAAGGCTTTGCATAATTGCATTCATCTTTGCTTGGTTATCTGTTGCTATGACACAGCAATATGTTCACTGTACGTGAACATATTTGCTGATGATGCCAAGCTACTCAGGAAGATAAACACTTGGCACATGGAATTTAATGTGAATAAATGTCATGTAATGAAGTCTTGAATAGGAGAAAATAGGCCACACACAACCTATACAGTCTGTGAAAACACTTCAGAGAATTCTGATAAGGTGACTGTCAGGTTAAGCTTCATTTGTAAGTGTATCCTCCCAGCAAAGTATTAGTGAAGGCGGTGCATAGATTTCTTACTGTGCTGCTGCTTCCTTTTCCATTTATTATTATTATTATTATTATTATTATAACTTGGTGGTGTGGCCACCACCACAATGGTGACTAGGGCAAGGAAGGCTTGTGTTTATTGATTATTAGGTTTGTGCTTACCTAGTTGAACTTGAATGTAACACTGTCAATTTTCATGACTGAGTGAGTCCCTTTGACAGTTTTGTGCTTGTAAGCAGACAATTCAATGTGAGGTAACACTGGGTAGATTGACAGTCTCCAGTGATGCCCAGCAGGATCATGTACGGACACTGTCACTGGTATTGTGTTTTCACAAGATCAAATATTGATTTTTTACACTAAATATGTTCTCTTACATGTTGTAAGAGAAAATGTCTCTTACATCTTCATTTACTGATACTTGTTTAAATATTTTTCTTTATTTTTAATATTATTGAGGGTGAAAAAATTTGTCGATAAGTACATTACACTCATATCTCTCTTTTGCTTGTTCTCATGTAGTCAGTAGAGATGAGACAAAAATTAGTTTCTACCACAGTGAAGGACAGTTTTAGAGGGATTTTCTTTCTAGTTTCTTTACAATGATTTAATACCGTGTATATTCTGGTTTTCCATTCCACTCTCATAGAACAACAAAAATATTCTAAAATATTTTTCAAAAAGTCTAATATCTGATCATATTATAAAACACCTGGAATGATTTCTAATATAAATAGAGGCTGAGTAGACATTTTAACACCTGTTAACACCTTAACAGGTGAGGGACATGTTTGCAATGGCTCGTAAGAATGCTCCATGTATTCTCTTCATGGATGAAATTGATGCTGTTGGCCGAAAGCGAGGTGGACGAAGCTTTGGTGGCCACTCAGAGCAGGAGAACACACTGAACCAGTTACTAGTAGAAATGGATGGTAAGCTTATATTATTGATTAATTATTAGTATGAATATTAATCAGAAAATACTTAAATTGCAAAAATAGGAATTCATACTTATAATCATGACAACATACAAGTTTAGTAAACTGCCACTCCAGTTTATCTTTGACATTCTCATACCACCCAAGTGGCACTTCACCCAATCCACATGTAATGGGAAAGGTGTACAAGAGGGTGTACATACAGGGGTCCCGGTAGTACAGTCGGGTTTGTTCTCGAAGCACAAGTAAGAATTCCCGGGCGGGACAGAAATGTTGGGGCACATTTTCTTTCACCTAATGCCTCTTCACCTGGCAGTGAGTAGGTACTCAGGAGTTAATCAGCTTGTTGTGGGTTTGCATTCTGAGCGGGGTCAATAATTCAGCCTTTGGGGGGGGGGTTACAGTACCTCGATAAAAGGAGCCAAAATCATGTAGGAATACACTCTGGCTTCCTGTCTCTCAACACCATGAATTATTATTATTATTATTATTATTATTATTATTATTATGTGGTATAAAAAATATCAGTGTCTGGGAAGGGGAGAATTAAACTAGAAAGAAAACGAAAGAAAAGATGAAGGCAGGCATTAGGAGCCGAGCGGACAACACGTTGGACTTGTGATCCTGTGGTCCCGGGTTCGATCCCAGGCGCCGGCGAGAAACAATGGGCAGAGTTTCTTTCACCCTATGCCCCTGTTACCTAGCAGTAAAAATAGGTACCTGGGTTGATTGTTGACCAGACCACACACTAGAAGTTGAAGGGACGACGACGTTTCGGTCCGTCCTGGACCATTCTCAAGACGATTGTGAATGACAATCGACTTGAGAAAGGTCCAGGACGGACCGAAACGTCGTCGTCCCTTCAACTTCTAGTGTGTGGTCTGGTCAACATACTTCAGCCACGTTATTGTGACTCATCGCCTGCATAGGTACCTGGGTGTTAGTCAGCTGTCACGGGCTGCTTCCTGGGGGTGGAGGCCTGGTCGAGGACCGGGCTGCGGGGATACTAAAGCCCCGAAATAATCTCAAGATAACCTCAAGATTAGCAAGCTCAAAAGAGTGAACAGTTTGTGTTGATTGTGTTCTTGAGAAACTACTATGTACTGAGGCCACCGTTCATGGTGAGTTCCCTGGTTACAGTATGGGATCACAACTATAGAATGGTATATATAATTCTGGCTTGATGACCGAGTGGTAGTTAAATGTTTACATATTCTGTACCAGTTTATGAATAGTATGTAAATATTTCTTACATTTAACATTTTACTTAATGTAATTTTGTTTAATATATACAAAATTGATGACAGGTTTCAACACCACCTCGAATGTAGTGGTATTAGCAGCCACCAACAGAGTCGACATTCTGGACAAGGCACTGCTTAGACCAGGACGATTTGACCGGCAGATCTTTGTACCACCACCTGACATCAAAGGTCGAGCTTCTATTTTCAAAGTACACTTGTTCCCCCTCAAGACACAGTTAAACAAAGATGAATTATCCAGGAAGATGGCAGCACTTACCCCAGGATTTACTGGTAAGTGTAGACTTCTTGGCTCTGTGGTTCTTATTGGTGTCTTCACAGTTACAGCGTAAGACAGTTACAAATCATCATTTGCAAAATGGTTCGCCTCACACTGTATTAGTCGTTAGTTTTGGCACTGACACCCGATCATATAGACTCAGGGGTGACTTGTTTCCAGGAAAATCACTTGAGGGCTTATTTAATTTATTTACCCACCAAATGTTGAGATATTTTGTGTGTACTTTGTTTACTTGTTAATAAAACTACCTGATTAATTTGTCCACATTTCCATTTATTGAAAATCATTTTGAAGTTTTTCAACTTTATTTGATACACAGGAGCAGACATAAGCAATGTGTGCAATGAAGCAGCCTTGATAGCTGCCCGTGATGCAGAAGAGTCTATCATACAAAAACATTTTGAAGCAGCCATTGAGCGTGTAGTAGCTGGCATGGAGAAGAAAACGAATGTATTGCAGCCAGCAGAAAAGAAAACTGTGGCCTTCCACGAAGCTGGCCATGCTGTCTGTGGGTGGTTTTTGGAACATGCAGATCCACTCCTTAAGGTAGCCAGTTTTCTTTGTTGTGGACCTTGCTCTGTGCTTGCAGAATATATAACTTGTCTGTTATCCGTACTGCCTTTCACCTTGCTCTGTGCTTGCAGAATATATAACTTGTCTGTTATCCGTACTGCCTTTCACCTTGCTCTGTGCTTGCAGAATATATAACTTGTCTGTTATCCGTACTGCCTTTCACCTTGCTCTGTGCTTGCAGAATATATAACTTGTCTGTTATCTGTACTGCCTTTCACATGCATGAGGAACTTGGTCATTATGTACCCGGTTACACAAATATTTGAAACTTTTCTTTAGTCATTAGAGCACTGCATAGTTTAACAGAGCACAGTGTGTTGACAAGATAACCCGTACAGTAATGTAATTGCATTCTCAAATCTATCAAATGATTATTAAATCATTTGTTTATGATATATAATTTAAGCATTCCTAGTTATTAATTTATATCTAAAATAATATAATTAAAGCTTGTGAATATTTTTAATTTTTGTAAAGAAGTATGTGATTCTGAAAACCATTTTCATTTAATACCAGTATTGTTGACGTTATAATTATTATGTACTTTGTGGATTTGCAGGGCGATGTTTAAATTATACTGTTATTTCTTTATCTCCTGGAAACTCATGTACCTTTGTGTTCATGAGTTCAGGACTTATAAAACGTTGTTTTCTCCCCAATCTTGATTAAATATGATGCATCCTCAGCTCCGGGGAATGCCTTGAGGGCAAGTATTTAATGTACACTTATTGTATGGCCAGCATGAAATAGTATTTAGTTTTAAAGTAAATTTGATTCTTAAGATTATTGCCAAGGAGAAAATAAGTATTTTGTACTCTTCAGGTTTCTATCATCCCGCGTGGCAAAGGTCTCGGCTATGCTCAATATTTACCAAAAGAGCAGTTCCTCTTCACCCAAGAACAACTCTTTGATCGCATGTGTGTAATGCTCGGTGGCAGAGTATCTGAGAGCATCTTCTTTGGTGCAGTAACAACTGGTGCACAGGATGATCTTCAGAAAGTCACGAAATCAGCATATGCTCAGGTGAGGCAGTTTACATTCGTATGAGTGAGTGTAGTGTTGTGTTGTATCAGCTTAAGCAGAAGTGGATGTTATGTCATATTACTAGGTTAACCAGTGTTAATTATTAATGTCTGGTTAATAATGTGAGAAGGCGAGATGAAGTGAGTGAGATGAGTGAGAAGGCGGATGAAGAATTATTGAATGGATTCGCCCTTAAATGGCTCTAATTGTACTTTCTATGATATCTCCTGTTCTCAAATCACTAAATGATAACTGTATTTATTTTACATTAGTTGTGTCTTGTGCACTGCAATGTAGGACTTTTAATTAGCTGACATGTTTAAGGGTTAAGGATGAGGGAGGTGGCCTAAATAGTCAAGTCTTATGGTGGAGCAATTGTAAAGAATCCACGCGATGTAATTCTATGAGTGATATCTTGAAGGCTACCTTGAGGTTACCTTGAGGTGATTTCGGGGCCTAGCGACCCCACTGCCCGGTTGTCGACCAGGCCTCCTCGTTGCTGGACTGAAAATTATCTATAAACAAGTAGTGCCTAGGTTTTACATTATTCATTATTTTCTGTTAAACATTGACACTTCTAATTCTCAGATTGTCCAGTATGGTATGAATGAACGTATTGGTCAGCGCGTCTACCAGCTTCCAGAACCCGGGGAAATGGTCATGGAGAAGCCATATAGTGAAGCTACTGCACAGGCTATAGATGAAGAAGTTAAGCTTCTCATTGATGCTGCTTATAAAAGAACAATGGATCTTCTCAACGAGAAAAAAGAATGCATCCAGAAGGTATGAAAATTCAGATTTTAAGAGTTAGGAAGATGAGGAGATGACAAACTATTCCTATATTTTATTATATTTTTAAACACTAATACAATACAGGCACATCGTGATTTATGCTGCATTGATGCTGCATTTATAAATAACTTTTTCTATTTATTTTCATTGTTTCTTTATAGAGTTTTTTGGTTCTAACATTGTACTGATGTCAAAAATGGGGTTCATTAGGTATAACTTTCAAACTATAGGTATGTACAGATGTATGTGTAAATATACACACACCATGTATTTATTCATACTAATATATATATATATTTAAGCCTAAATCTTATAATTGACATAGCACACATTTTACCTGAAATATTTACAGTGGCACCTCGACTTACGATAATTTCGAGTTACGATGTAAATTTGAACAAAAAATGCGACTCGACTTAAGATAGTGTCATCGACTAACGATATTTGTTGGTACACGTTTGGGTCGACTGAGGGCGTGGTTCCCTGTCACGCGGGCCGACCTGCCTCAGTTTACTAGAGCTGCCCGCTTAGTGACGATCACCCCTATAAGAAATTCTGTTTTTGTGGTGATTTTTTGCTCTTTGAACATAAAACTGATTATTATATATCACGCCATGGGTCCCAAGAAAGTCAGTGGTAACGTTCAACCTAAGAAAATAGTTGAGTAGAGGCAGTAGAGGATGTCCCTTCCTCATTAGGAAAATGTGTGAAGTATGGAAAGAACTGCAAAGTTTTGTTGAAAAAAACTCACCCAGATAAAGCTGTAGCAGGCCATTGCATTGACCTTTAAATGACAATGTGATGTCTTACTACAGACGTGTTAAAATGTAGGAAAAAACAAGTGTCTTTAGACAGATTCTTAGTAAGACAAGCAAGCAGTGAGCCACAAGCAGGTCCTATTGGTATGCAGGCAAAACATGCCAGAGTGTATCCCAGAAAAGTCATCACTGCCTGATGTTATAATGGAAGGGGACTCCCCTTCCAAACAGTAACACCTCTCCTCCCCCCCTCCTCACCATCTTCGATACGCCATCAAGAGTCCTCCATAATGGTAAGATAAACATATGTACTGTATTGTAGTTAGAGAAAAAAATTGTATTCAATATAAAATGTATTTGTAAGTTAATATTTTGGAGAGTGGGGAACGGATTAATTCAATTCCCTTTATTTCTTATGGGAAAAATCGCTTTGACTTACGATACGTCTCTGGGAACGAATTACCATCGTAAATCGAGACCCCACTGTAATGGTAATCATTTGTTATTGATTAAAGTTCAGTGGCTCCTAGTATGGCTGCCCTGCACCCAAATAGGGGATTGTTACTGGAAGCCTGAGGAAGCAACTATGAGCTCCTTGTATGTGCAAGACTTTTAAATCTTAGACAGTCCCCTACTACTTCATTTGATGTGATGCACAGCCGAAGGGCTAGAAATGGTAAATTAGTTTAAACCTCTTGTGCAAAGTTTCTATTTAGAGTAGAGTAAATCATGGAAGTTAGTGACTGATGCGATGATAGGAAGATGAGCAAAGAAACCAATGTTGCTTGAGGTGTGCACGAAGTGGTACTGGTGCCTATGATTATATACAAGGGGAGAGCTGCTGGTGTGATATGAGCATCACAAAGCACAGGTGTTGAAAGCAACATTCTGAGATCTTTGTGGTGTTAGGATTGAGTAAGGAATGAAATAAAAATGTCATGAATTAAGTATCAGTAAATGGAGAGATTGAGGTGAAGTGCAGTAATTTTCAAAGCAGTTTTAAATTACAGTAGTGTACATTAAAATATCACTCGTGGTGGCTTAATCAAATTGAACGAATAGATAATGAGTGTACTTGAAGGTAGGAGATTGAGAAAAGTACAGCAGTAACAAAGGTGAACAGTATTTAACAAGAATTCCCCCCCCCCCCTCCTCCCTCAAGTAATTTTGTGACAATTTGTATTTAGCACCTTGCTGTGTAATTGTGTGTATGTATTGCTGGATTGTGATGGTGCAGGTTCTACATAATACTGCAATGTGTACTGGTATTGTGAAGGATGTTGCAAATGAATGGGTATTTCTTATCTCAAAAACTGGGGAAGAGTGGGGAAACAGGGCAGTGATAAACTGTAGCAATTTTTTTTTTTATATATATATATATATAATGGTTACATTTAAGATAAAAGTACTTGTTTTTTCCAGCTAATCGTCCTAAACTGAAAGGACTTCAAGTAATGATGTAGTCGATCATTCAAATATGGCCACGATAGACCAATAGAAAGTAGGCTTTTATCTTATTGAATTTGGACAAGCCAGAGAAGTTTTTGTATATGTTGCTAATGAAAGCTAACCTTCCTTGGTGTAATACAGTACACATGTGCTACACTAGACCTGGGAATATTTGAGTTTGGTGTTTAGCTTTATCTTCTCCAGACTATACATGACTAGTACCAAATTCTATTTGTCCATTACGCTATTTGTACAATTGTCCACATAGTTACAAAAAGTGTTTTATTAGGATGGATTTTTTTTTTTCACATCAGACAGGTAAACTCGATTATTTCTGCAAGCTAAATGCCAGCAGTGGTAAAGTCTCAATTTTATTCAAATTTTAGGAAATTTACTTAATTTCAGAGCTTGCTGCGTTCCAAAAATTTTTTATGAGCAACAAAAAATAGCATGCTTCTTAACTTCAATCTTTTTGTGGTGTAGCTTTTTAAAACAATAATACAATATTTAATGCAACGTATTATATTAAAATCTTCATTCCCACCCCATCGTTGGTGCCTCTTTTTCCTTCTTAGATTGCGGAGAGACTTTTGGAACGGGAAATTTTGAGCCGTGATGACCTGATCGAGCTACTTGGCCCTCGACCATTCAAAGAAAAATCAACTTACGAAGAATTTGTGGAAGGCACTGGCAGTTTTGAGGAAGATACCACTTTGCCTGAAGGGCTTAAGGAATGGAACAGAAGTAAAGAGGATATTGAGAGAGAGAAGAAAAGTAGTTAATTAAAGGACTGCTTTAAGAAATACTTTAATGTTAAAAGGTGAAGCAACCATAAAGAACTTAATAGCTTTGCTATAGTGTGTTGGGGTTGTGGTAGAACAACTGACTTGGGTTTAACACAGGGTCTGTGTAATCTCATCTTGCTTTTGAATTGTACCGGTACAATGGGGGTGGGGCTCTTGTGTCTGATTCAAGTTGGTTAAAAATTTAAAAGTTTTTAAGTTGTATAAATTATTTAAATAAGATACTGGTAATTTTTCAAATGTTGAGGGATTGCTATATGTGATATACAGTATAACAATTGTAGTGGAATGAAAGATATGTCAATACTTGTTATAATATCCTTGCAAGTGATGTACTTTTGAAAGCTAGGAATGTACCACCTAATAATGTACATGCAAGGGAAGTTCAAAAGTAGAAATTTTGATATTTATTCAAGACATTCAGAAGTTGAAAGTTCTTCAGATAATGGATTAGCAAGAGCGTAGCTTGACTTAATCCTCCAAATGTCTGCTTCATCACAAATTATATACAGTACTGTCATTACTGAAGATCACAAATGTATAAATTTTAAAGCCTTAAGCTAAGAGCTTTTATATTTTCTATTGCAACAGGTTTGTAAATATGTACTAAATGTCATTTCTTTTCCTTTACAGTACTCATCAAAAGTATGCAGCATAGTGCACAAGTTGCCATGTACTTACGGCAGCTACATGGCTCTGCAACAACCCAGCGGCCCCAGGCTGTCGTGATCAGTGGTCCGATGCATCTTGCTCTTTGACTGTGGCATATTTTTGCACAGTGGTCCTTGTGGTATTATGTTATTATGGCACCTACTAAGGAACTAAGCAAAGAAACTATTGCTTTAAAGGAGGCAGGCCACCAAACTAAGGAAAGAAATGAGTCGGTGGGTATTGTGAAATCGACAATGAAGTACTGTGTACATTTGAGAGGCAAATAGAAGTGAGATACCACACCACACAAACCTTGGGTTGGTCATCCCAGGATGACTTCAAGGTCTCTGAAATGCCCTAAAACATTCATTGAAGATTGAGGGTTTTAGAATGTTCAGACCTTGAAATTTTCACGAGGCCAGACCAACTGGCTTGGTTCAAGCCCTTAAGACCAAGTTTTTGTGATGGTCTCTCTCACAACTCTATTTGCCTCTCTGAAATGCACACATGCTTCCTCATTGTTGACTTTGACTCACACTAATTAAATTATTTCCTTAGTTTGATGGCCTGCCTCCTTTAAAGCAATGGTTTCTTTACTTAGTTCCTTGGTAGGTGCCATAATAACAACACCACTAGGACCACTAAGTGCAAAAACATGCCACAGTCAAAGAGCAAGATGCAGCTGATCACAGTGACAGCCTAGGGCCTACTGGGCTTAAGCCCTAGTGTCATGTAGCTGCCATGTCGTTCTATATATATAAAAAAAATCTTAATGGCATAAGTATGCAGTGCCTCATGCAGTGCACATTTTTGTAGAGTACTGTAAGTCCAATGTGATTGAATGTACAGAGGCGTCTTTATATTATTAAAATAGATAACTTCATTTATTATTTAATTTCTTTCCCATTCAATGAACAGTATCTTACATCATTCTTGCTGGTGCCAGATGCTCCGTTTAGGAGTAGATCCCCTTGTCATGCTTCTGAAGTAAGTGTTAGAAAGTTGGTCATGGTTCTTTAAGGTACAGTAGCATATCCGTTTACCACGTGTGTGGTGACCCTGGTCATTTTTGTACCAATTGCTCTTCTCTTAGGCCCAATGCATACACTGTGGGGAGGCCCCCCTTGCATTTGAAGTTTCAACAGGCCATTTTCATCTTGAAGCCTAGTGATCGTATACCTTTCCCAGAGGCTCGGCGCCGTCTTTACTCCAACATTGCTTATGCTCACGCATTGCATCACACTTCCCTTCCTTCATTCTGCAATCATTTCCAAACTATGAATCCTGACACCACCAGCTCCCCCTTCTCCAATCTATGGTCTCTGTGTTTTTTCTCACGATTCTTCGTCCATCGACTCCAACCTTCCTTCACTCTTCAACCTGCCAGGTTAATGCCACTTCTCTGCTTCCTCCTTCCTCAGCATCCTCCATTTTTTGACACCCTCTTTCTTCTGTCTTTTGGCCTTTCCCTGTCCAGCCTCCTCCCATTCGCCTTCCTGTTGTCTGCTCTCGTTACCCACCCCCCCCCCCCCCTTTCCGACTGTGGACACTGTTGCACAGTACGTCCCTACCGACACACAATCAAACTGAAACCTGCTTCCTCTCCCGCCTTTCCTGCAGATAATAAGGCTTCTGTCCTTCCCACAATTTCCTCTACCATCTTGGTTCCTGCCTCCTCTTCTGTCCGAGTAGCAGAGTCTGTCTATGGACGTCCCCATAGCCCTTGATTCTGCCTCTGGTACTGCCTGTCCCTGATTAAGTGCTCACTGCTGTTCGTTGTTCACCCCACCCTTCCTCGACCATCCGTCTCCAGACCCCGTTAGTTCGCCTCTGCTCCTTCTAACCGCTCTCTTTACTGGATTTACCTTTGCCACCCCCACTTCACTTCTCCTACTTCTGATCCTCCCTAGTGTCCTTTATTTTCGTTTTTCTCCTTTTTCTTACCTCTGGTCTTCACTATGTCTATTCTTCAAAGGAATATTTGTGGTTTCTTTGTAAATTTTCCTAAACTCCAACTTCTGTCATATCAATTTTCACTGCTTTGTGTCCGTCTCCAGGAGTTGATGCTTGGGACTCTCTTAACTTTACTGCTCTCGTGATCTGGAATGATGTTCCCTTTGTCCCCCACTTTCAAATGAACTGAATCCTGAGTGTTGTGTGTTGGAGCAAACAGGCAGTCATTGAGGTGCAAACAAATATTCTGTGTAATACGGTAAAAATTGCACTAAGCGAGAACAAAGGATTTTCTGCCAGCCAGGAAGATCCTGGAACCTTATAACACACATAGTACAGAAAAAGATCTAAACTCAAAAGAGGGCTGGTGCATCAAGGAGGCGTAATCTGGATCTTGCAGAAAGTACATAAAAAAAAAAAAAAAGCCTCCCGAGCTGCCGCTGGAGGGACCCAAGAGGAAGCCTCGGGAAGAACAATCATATGGGCCTAAAGGTACAAGGAACCAAACCCTGAGAAAAGCTGCACCCAAATCATACTCTGACAGGGAGGGAGGAAATAATAACCTCTACCACCCTTTCTCCCTGCAAAAAGGAGACCCTTCTTAGAAGGATCCAGGAACTGAGCCAAAAGGGACCCAAATCTGAATCCCCCCAAGCCCCGAAAGCTGCAGAAGAGGTTCCCAGGGCAGAGGCAGTGTTCTCACCCACTGGCCAGAACAGAAAAGCAGACTCCAAGGGAGAGGCTTCAAAGGAAGAAGGGAAATCTCAAAAGCGTAGGCAGGACTAACAGGCCCAACTGTCTTATGCCTGAATCTGAAGAGGCAACACCCTGAGCTGGCCGAATCATTTCCCGAGCTAAACCCTGCCCGACCCGGAAACCCTTGGAGGCTTCGGGGCAAGGAGAAGAGAATCAGAGGAGGGGTGAACCATGCTCAAATACAAAGGAAGAGGAGGTGCGAACGGAGCCAAAGTGCAGTTCACTTTTGACACCACCACCCCCACCAATTTGGATCCCTTACCTTGCGATGATTTCCGGGCTCAACGTCTCCGCGACCAGGCCTCCTCGTTGTTGTACTGGTCAACCAGGCTGTCGGATGCAGCTGCTCGCAGCCTAACTTATGAATCACAGCCTGATTCCTCACGTATCCTTTGGAGGTGTTTAACAAGTCTCTCTTGAACACTGTGAGGGGTCAGCCAGTTATGCCTCTTGTGTGTAGTGGAAGCGTGTCAAACAGCCTCGGGTCTCTGATGTTGATAGAGTTTGCTCTCAGAGTACCTATTGCACCTCCGCTTTTCAATGGAGATATTCTGCACATCCTGCTATGCCTTCTGGTCTTATGTTGTGTTATTTCTTTGTGCAGGTTTGGGACCAGCCCCTCTATTATTTTTCACGTGTAAGTTATTATGTATCTCCCACCTGTGCTCAAGAGAATACAGATTTAGGTATTTTAGTCAGTCCCAATAGGTTAATGTTTTCCTGAGTGGATTCTAGCAGTAAAGGATCTCTGTATGCTCTCTAGGTCAGCAATTTCTCCAGCTTTGAAAGGGACTTTCATTGTACAACAGTGTTCTATTTTAGAGAGCACTAGCATTTTGAAAAATATCACCACTGGTATAGCATCCTAGTTTGAAACCTCCCTAAACATGAACACAAACCAGAGGTAGATCTGGGGCATCCAATCCAATTGGACACAACCTAGAAAAACAAAGATGCAAAGTGGTTGCTGCCTGGTAAGCTCTAACCTCATCAAGAGGGTCAGAAAGAGCAATTATACGAGAGCAAACCCTACAAGACCATCAAAAGTGTCATCAACCCAACAGGCCATTGTGGAGCATTAGTAATGAATGTCGCTACATGGCACGGATGATGAGCAACTCTCAAACTCGCACGAAGTGACAGTAGGTTTGAGGGGAATATCCATAAGACCACCAAACCTGCAGGGAATTTCCAGAGCCTGAAGGAGAAACCCAAGCAGGACTCCCAGGCACTTGTATCGCTATATTGGACCTTGGTAAGCTGACACTGCCAGGATTATGTGGCTGTGAAGGCCAACCTCGTTGCGCTAAGAGCAGTATGTGAACCCCCAGTGCACCCTGCCTGCCAAAGTCGCTCCTGACTTGAGTTAAGACAAGAAAGTCCCAGAGACTTGGCTTACCCTGGACAAGAGGCAACGCAATTGAGAAAGACCTCTAATGAAGCGTCCCCAAAACACTCCAGAGAAGAAAATCCTACGAATGTAAGGGCAGCACTATAGAGAACACGGAAGGTAATCCTGCACATATGCAGCTCCAAACACACTCGGCGGTGTGTTTGGGAGCCGGTTGGTCGGCCGAGTGGACAGCACACTGGACTTGTGATCCTGTGGTCCCGGGTTCGTTCCTGGGCGCCGGCGAGAAACAATCGGCAGTTTCTTTCTCCCTATGCCCCTGTTACCTAGCAGTAAAGTAGGTACCTTGGTGTTAGTCAGCTGTCACGGGCTGCTTCCTGGGGGTGGAGGCCTGGTCGAGGACCGGGCCGTGGGGACACTAAAGCCCTGAAATCATCTCAAGATAACTCAAGATAACCACTCAAAACTAGGCTCATGGCTACACCACTGTGTACAGGAAATGCCACTAAAGGCAAACACCACCACTTAACTGAAGATGTACAACACTGGAGCCCCACACTGATAGTGTGCGCGAGCACCTCTAGTGTCAACACCTGCATCAGAGCAGCTCCAGGATAATTCAAATTCCTAAGACTGATGTGACATAGTAGATGGTACCATATCAGTACAGTATACAGTAGCTTCAGGGAGTCACAAGGGGCTTCCCCCATAAAAAGCTATTTAGCATTTGTCACAATATTGAAAATTTCTTAAATATCATTCAGGATGCCAATACAATAACAAAGTAAGCAATTATCAAAACAAGGTACTATACTAAGCCTGCAATATTATTGAGCACCATCAATGGTGCAGAACAACCAGAAAATAAGTAGTGACTACTATCGTTTGTCCAGACTACATATATGGGAAAGACCCCTCACTGGATAAACGGCCATTCTTACTGGGAAAGTTTAGACATAAACATTTACAAGTTTTTGTACCACGGCCAACATATATCATATTTCCACACACACTATGCATGGTTAGAGGAGGATTTTCACATGCCAGTCCAGTACTTACAGTATTCAAAGAATTTAGTGACAACAGAAATTTCAGCTTACCTTAAAGTTTGTCTGTTTAGTTGATGAAGGGCTTCAGAATGTTCATTTACCTAACAACACTAAAATTACTGTACATGAGCTTCGTGTTCTCTTATATCATAGACAGTATTCACACCTAAAAATCCTTTACCACACACACACACACACACACACAAGGAGGGAGGGAAGCAGAGACACAGTTTGAAAATGACAGCGAGTAAAGCCAAGACCCAACCAAAGCTGCTCTACAGCCACATCAGGAGGAAAACAGCAGTGAAGGAACAGGTGATGAAACTGAGAAAAGGGGAGAACAGATACACACAGAATGACAAGGTGTGTGAAGAACTCAACAAGAGATTCCAGGAGGTCTTCACAATAGAACAAGGAGAAGCCCCTGCACTAAATGAGGAGGCAAACCAAGCAACCATGGAGGAATTTGACGTCACCAGTGATGAGGTCAAAAGGTGTCTGCTGGAGCTGGATGTGACAAAGGCTGTTGGGCCTGACAAAATCTCACCATGGATACTAAAGGAAGGTGCAGAAGCACTAAGTGTGCCACTCTATGGTGTATAACAGGTCACTGGAAACAGGAGACTTACCAGAAAGTTGGAAGACAGCTAACGTAGTCCCAATATCTTGAGGTTATCTTGAGATGATTTCGGGGCTTTTAGTGTCCCCGCGGCCCGGTCCTCGACCAGGCCTCCACCCCCAGGAAGCAGCCCGTGACAGCTGACTAACTCCCAG